AAATACAGGTTTTACATTCTCACTACAGAGCGCTTCATTAATTTTATTATTTATGGAATGAGAATTGGCATACATTGGGTTCCTGAAGAGTTCTCCTATCTGGCCATCATCCAAGTTGTTGAAAAGCTCAGCCACAATGCCTTTATACACATTTAGCCAGTATTTTTGTTTCCCTTGCTCTAATACCTTGTTTAATATGCACTGATATTTCATTGAATCAGAACAGATGGGGGATTCATATAACTGACTTTTGTACAATTTGAGGTTCATTGATCTGTGTATCCTCACTATGACTTAATTCAAGAAGCTCTCCTGCAAAATCTGGGAGTGCCAGGTAAGTACAAGGATTGTCTTTCAGAAGCATGGCTTTGCATAGAATCTGAGGTAGAAGGGGCTATTTAGGTCATCAAATTCAACTCCGCCCCACCCACAGTGCAGGAATAGTTTAAAGCATCCCATCTCATAATCTTCATTCTGCAACATTAGAACAGTTGATGGATGAGCAGGGTCCTTGTTCATATAAGCAGTCCTGGCCACAGAACTGATAGAAAGGTAGCAAAACAGTTCTTACCTCTCCTTTCCTATAATCGGTTGTGTACATGGAAAAGAAAAGAATAGCTTTGAGTGGCTTTGCCTCTGAAACTAAGAACATATTCTGTGAAAATTGGAGAGAAAAATCTGTTTGTGGAGAGGTAAAAGGAATGTTACTACGCAACAGAACATTCATTGTAGACCGGCACCCAACAGGGCGAGGGGCAGGACAGGCAGATTTTCCCTCTCTGTCCAGGCAAGCAACAGACCAATTGGCCTCCTGCTGGCAAACAGGTCAGCACTGTTGGAACACAGAGTTCCTGTTCATTGATAGGTCTTCACTGTTGACTTAAACTTATCACTTTTATGAGTGCATAAGGCCATCAAATCAAGTGCCAGATGAAATGAGGAAATGAGAAGCACTGCATTTTCAGTTTGTCTGTTTTGGAGTCCCTAGTTTGTATTTTTAAAAGCTCCAAATCTGAATTTTATACTGATTTAAGTAGTTTTCACTATCCAGCACAATCCAAGAGTGAGTACACATTTTCAGACAGTGGCTTCTGAGCCTTCAATGAGCTGTGCCTTGCAGCCTCTCTCTTGCATTTAATCTAGAGATATGCCCTAATAAAGCGTCTGAAGCGGATGGCACTGCAATTTAAATTGGTAGTGGTGTTTTGTTAACCTTTTCAGGCATTTCACCACAACCAGAAATAGCATCTTTCCTTGCTTTCTTACAAAAGTAAACATTTTACAGCCAACTTTATAATAGGGATACTGTTGTACTGGCCTTCCTTCTGTGCCTTTAACATTGACCTAACATATATTAAGTATTTTTTCCATTCCTTTATATCTATGTCAGGAAAACTTTGACCTGAGCAATTCCTACATGTCACTCTGAAGTAAAAGTCACAGGAGAATGACCAGCAAAAAAGATGGCAAAAAGGATTTCATTTATAAACATATATAGGCCATTTCATGCACAGTGATGTATACACACATCACTTGCTGGTTGCCTGAATGTATAAAAAACACCACAAGATTTCCTAATGCACCATGTATCCAAAATGCCATTCTGTAAATACAGAATTTTTCACATGAAAAGAAACAGAGAAACAGAGCGAGTCAGAAGGGGTCTCCCATGCCATCTAGTCTGAACCCTCTGCTCACAACATGCCCACCATGCGCATGTCGAGCCTATCTTTGAACACCCTTACCGATGGGGCCTCAACGACCTCTCGCGGAAGCCCATTCCACACCCTCGGGGTCCTAACTGTCAGGAAGTGCTTCCTGGCATCTTAATGGAACCTTGGTTCCCTGAGCTTTGCTCCGTTGGAGCACGTCCTGCTTTCCTCTGCAGGGGAGAACAGGTCTCTACCCATCTCCATCTGACTTCCCCTCACATACCTGTATGTCGCCAACATATCCCCTCTGAGTCGCCTCTTCTCCAGGCTGAAGAGACTCAGTTCCCTCAGTCTCACCTCATACGGCATCCCCTACAAACCGGCCACCAACCTTGTGGCCCTACACTGCACTGACTCTAACCTGGCTATATCCTTCCTGTAATGAGGGGCCCAAAACTGAGCACAATACTCCAGTTGCTGGTGCACCAGAGTCGTATAGAGTGGTAGTAACACCTCTTTTGATCTAGAAGCCACACTTCTGGCTATGCAACCAAGGGTGACGTTTGACCTCTTGACCACCACATCACACTGCTGACTCATATTTAGCCTGCAGTCAACCAGCGCCCTGAGGTCCCTTTCACAAGTGCTGCTCACCAGCCACTTGTCCCCTAACCTGTACTTATGACACCTATTCCTATGCCCCAAGTGCAAGACCTTGTACTTACTTACATCGAATGCCATCCTGTTGTCTCCTGCCCACTTCCATAGTCTGTCCAGATCCTTTTGGATCTGGAGTGCCTGCTCCTCAGTTGTGGCCACTGCTCCAGTTTTAGTATTGTCTGTGAATTTGATCAGCAGACTGTTCAGCCCTTCTTCCATGCCATTTATGAAAAGATTAAACAGGATGGACCCCAGGACAGAGCCCTGGGAGATCCCGCTTGTCACTGGCCACCATCCCGATGATTCCCCACTAATGGTTACCCTCTGCTTTTGGTCAGTCAACCATGCCCTAATCCATCGGATAGTGCTTTGGTGTATCCCAAAACTCCTCAGTTTCTCAACCAGGATATCATGGGGCACTTTGTCAAAGGCCTTGCTAAA